CCCCAAAACCCCAAAACCCCAAAACCCCAAAACCCCGATAACTGGGAATGGGACTGAAAGTAATAATATAATTAAAATAAGCATGAACTATCAATTTTTCCAAGAAGATGATTAAACTGAAGCCCTTCTCCATAAAAATTCCATGCCTTTAAAAGTACTGTTAAGTAATAGAGTCTGAAGGAATATGAGCTAAAACAGAGCAGCTCAAAGGAGAAAGTCTGTAATTTGTTCTGAACATCACAAGGAGAACTAGCTTTGTTGTAGAGAGAGAAATATTAAGAGTAGTTATAGAATCAAGAGTGTTGATTTCAGTCCTTTGGACACAAGAGATACATGTTCTTTACTAGTTAATAGGAGTAAATATCAAAATGGAGGGTCTATTACGGTTTGAGATAGGCGAACTATTAAGAGTATGAGCTAAGATAAGGAAGCATAAGAATAATAAAACTGAGGCTAAATCTTTTGAATCAGCCTCAAAAGTTAAAGGCGGTTACTTTATCACAATCAAGGGCATCTCAGCTATTTCAGGCTACTTCTAAATTCATAATTATTAACTAAAATAGTATGAAAATTATTTTGTGAGGATAAAAAGCTGGGCTTACTGTAAAAGAATTTAGGCGCTTTAAATTTAGAACAAAAGCCAATTAGTAAATGAACTTTTCTCTCTCATTTAGAAGATGACAAACTCATGAATCTCTTTCTCATAAATTAAATGGAACAAATATGACTATCTCTAAAGTTTAAACCATCATTTACTACAATCAAACGTATTCTAAATGCCTGATACTTATCAATTATCTACTGCAGATGAGGAAAGCCCAATTTTGATATTTCTTCGAGAGACTTGCTTCCACATTGTTTGTATTAAATATAGATCTTGAGAGCCTCCAATAAATATAATATATGCCGTAAACCAATTTTATAACTCTTTAAAATTTGAAATGAATGGCTAAATCTCAGACAGCAAACTTTGGTTTATAACTTATGGCATCATAATGAATCCTAACTATAACATATTCTATCTGATCCAAGAAGTATCTGACTTCAAGATTTTGCAACTTTTAATAAGCTTCGGTAGATATATGAATCTCTAACTTATTTGAACCAATTTAGAGCATATTTATAGCAATCTTACATTTCTTCCAGAGACATAAGAATTTAACATCAAACATTTAGAATACTTCACAACAAGGACATCACAACAAGCTAATGACACAAATGGACTATTTTAGAAAAGCACTCCTAACAGCTGAGTTATTTATTAGCTGGACATTCAAAGTCTCCAATATTTAGCTTAAAGCAAATCAATGAAGCTCTTGCTCTTGGCCCAAGAAAATATGAAAGTCATCTGCATTAAAATAATTTAAGTTTTAAACATCATAGGAAATTTGTTATCAAACTACCATGTCAATTAGAAAGTTTGTGGATAAATTCGAACGATGTTTCTAAGCATCCTTAACCTCTACAAAGGTATGAAAAGGTTTCTTAATAACTCTAGAGCTAGATAATTAACTAAAAGTTCCACCCCAGGTGTTTACTGATCAAGATCAGCATTTTAAGATTTTTATTTATATATAAATTAGAAGAATATTTGAAATTATGAAATGGCAGGATGGCAAATAATGCTAAACACTCTCTAGCTATGATGACTCATTGATACCATACTATAATTTTCGACACTAGTCAATTTCTTCACTTTAAGATATTCTACTGCCCATATATTCCCAAAACTTGACTCTGTCTACTTTCTCCAAACACCATGCAATTTGGATACTTCCTGGTCAAATGCTCCAACAAATACTTCATTCATCTATTTTCAACCAAAAAGAGCTACTAGAGAATGCTCTTGGTTAAGACACCTACCGCTCTCCTCTCTTTGATCCACAAATACAACTAATTTTTAGTCATGACCCTCCCATTAAGTTCTTGTTCATCATTAATCAATCATTTTAACAAAAAATGGGGTTTTGGGGTTTTGGGGTTTTGGGGTTTTGGGG